CATTTCCTCCCTATACCTTAAGTTAAGGAGTGAATGTTCCCCCTTATTTTACACCTCTTGACTTTTGACCTTTGACCCCCAGCATCGACATCCCAACTCGTTTTCGGATTACCCCCCCACGTCCCGAATATCGTGACCGTACGTCGAGCGGTTAAGATTTGTGCCCAACTGTTGACGGACGCACGGACGCACGGACGGACGGACGATCATGCGATTCTACAAGCTGCATCTGACTATGTCAGATGAGCTAAAAAAGAAACCGTAAATTGATGTTGTATGGTATGGAGGTGTGTCAATTGTATGTGTTTGGATAATCGGTGTCTCAGTTTTGTTTTCTCATGCAGCTGTGGAATGTTAATTCTTATGTTAATGGTAATGTGAGGGATGTTTTATATACACAGGTATGGAACGTGTAACGATGCTGTATCTGGGACTTGACAATGTGAGAAAGACATCAATGTTTCCACGTGATCCAAAACGTGTCACACCATAAAACCATGCACAACAACTGTCACAGTCATTTATCAACCCTTAGATCGTGGGCAAAATGTGTGATAGCACTATACTTCAGAAAAACAAGATATTTTGTCTTCGACTGTTTGATGTGTCAATGAGGGTGGTATTTTGTGATGAAAGTTGGTTGCAATATATAAGCTATTTTTTAAATGTACTGAATGCACAATATACATGGATTTTCCACGTGTTTATTAAATCAACAGGTTCAATTAGCATCCATGTCCAAACCTTAATTTCGTCCCTTGTTATGTGAAATAAACAACAGATCTAATAAATTGGATGTTACCACACATTAAGACCATTTTTATATTTTGTGTGCATGTGCATGTGCATGTGTATGGCTGCGTGGGTGTTAAACTATGTGAAACATTAAAGCGATTATTGCGAGAATTTTCCAGTGTTTTCACCACTTTCATGACACCTACCGTTATTGCTTGAGTAACAATAAAATGTCTTAGAACCTTCGTATTCACCAAAAACTGCCAGTTTTGAACTACTGGTTTCGAACTAGTTTTGTAAACATTCGTTTTCTGTTATCTTGAACTAGGCAGAAGTGTGGATTAGCTTGTGGCATCACCGCTTTTCTGCCCTAGACAAAGCATGGCTCTCAAATCATGCACTTGTTTTCAATTAATCACCGACACAAATACAAGTTTACCAATTCTGCCATTAGGCATTGTCGCGACACGATAAAATGCATTGCTGTTACGATGTGTTCATATCCAATTTTTCTATGCTATAACTGCATAAAATCGTAGTATTTTTAATGTTGGTGTAATCAGTGATATTTTCGCTGTCAGGTGAGACTATATTCAGCTATGTTTAGTTTTTCCACGCAAAAATCTTGCAATAGTCATTTTAAAATGTAAAAAAAACAACCGTTTGCTTGTAATAAGATTAACCAGTCATGTTTATTACACAGACAGTCAGTTAATACTTGGGAATTCAAAACGTCTGTCAATCACGTGCAGCACAATTCTACCAACCAATGGAATTACATATCACTTCTAATATTTAACTTATCTTTTGCCTACATGTTTTTCCATGTTAAGAAAACATAGCAATTACCTTTCGCAATAGAATGATTTTGTTTGAAACTAAGCAATAATTTACGTTGGCAATACATCAGTCATACCATGAACACGTATAATCTGTATATATATTTGTTCATTTGTAATATGAAGCCATATGTAGAAAATGTCACTCACTGTCACTTTCGACTACAGCCCGTCGCTTCACGCTCTTCAACACTATATGGTCATCCACTTCCGATTCTGAACTAGAACGTGTGCGTGTGGTAGCTACATCCTGACCGTTGGTCAAGTCAGCCATTGTGTCACCTGCCAAGTACAATTATGACAGCAATAGAACAGGGAAAATATGTCCAAGAATTTTGCTAACAGAAAAAGTGCAATGTTCATTAATAATATTTTGATATCTGTTTCTTTTGGTAGTTTATGACAGTTTTAAAACGAACAAAATTGGCATTACTACAGATAGCATGCTAAAAAATTCTCATGTTTGATATATAGATATAGATTATATGATATTCTGATGTTTGATGAGTATTCTTGTAATACACATAGGGGAGTATATTTTCTATTCTTCACCTGTTTCCTTTTCCACCTGGTGCAGTCCACTCTCAATCTCTGACTCGCTTTCCAACATAGCCATGCGTGTTCGCTTCTGTGGTTGCTTTGTTGTTGTGCCAATAATTAACCTGTAATTGTGAGAAGTGATCATTTATTTGTTAACGGGATGACAAATCATATATAGGAAAAAATAATTAAATTACAAAACTTCCAGTTCATTAATAGTGTAGGTAATGCAGCTTACGTATGCAGAGAAATATAGTGATTAATAGAATCAAACAGATATATTCTCATAAATATGAGTAATGTCAATTATATAGAATAATTAATATATTAATTTATGTACGTAAGAATAAATATTACATGTATAAAGAATGCTAGATAGAAGTCTAGCCACTAGCCAAAGTTTGATTGTTCATGAACGGAATGCTGTCCACTTACCCGTCACTGTCTGATGAATCACTATCCAGCATCCTTTTCGTCCGTCCCGGCTCGGAGAGCTGTGCTGCGGTGTTGTCCTCCCCTAGCTCCGTAGCCTGCCTTTCACCCTCCTCCTCGTCATCGCTGTCACCGGCAAATGTGCGTCTGACCCGGCCTCGCTTCGGTACTTTGTCACTCGGCGTTACACGTTGCTTCGAGGCTCGAAGACCTCGCTTCTGTTTCAGCATCTCGAGCCGTTTGTTCTGTTTCGCGCCACGTCGCGATCCGCTGGCGTTCGCTTTCCGCGACTCGTTCGGTGCTTCCTTCCGCGTGTCGGTAGCGCGCCCTTCTCTGCTTTCTGACATGGACAGCGGCTCGTCGTTGCCAGGATTCGGCGAAGCATCGAGCGTCCTCTCGGCTTCAGATCGCTTTGCGGAAGCGGCGACGAAAAGTGGCAGCTCGTCGTCCGCGTCGCTACTGCCGTCTTCGGATCGCCACGCACTCTCACCCACGCGTTCCCTCTTCGACGAAATGTCGCGAGTGGTGCCACCTACGTCGCCGCCGGCGAGTGCATCGAGGTCGCTGTCGTCGTCGGCTAACGGCTTGCGTGGTCGCCGCGTCGTCTTTCCTGATTTAGGTAGTTTTCTCGCCAGTGGAGCATCGTCGTCGCTGGAATCGCTATTGCCATTATTGTGATACGTTGATGCTACAGCGTCAGAGCCACCGCCCGCCCTATAATAAATGCGTGAGGTGTTAATATGGGTCACTGATTTACCTAATTTACACTTCATCACTAATGGTGATAAATAGATGGATTATTACACATGTGGAAACATACCTTTCCATAAAAAAGTCTTCGGTGACTTCTTTTAATATGTTGCTCTCCTTTTTCCTGCCCTTCCTCTTAGCAGGCCTTTTTCCAGATGCTGTCCCATCTGTACTATTACTTTCCATTCTAGTTTCATTCCTCTCTGGCCTGTAGAGAAACAAAATAATGGTATCTCATAGACCTAGTAGCAATAATACCTACTGACATTCCTATCCAAGTTTCCACATTGATACCACAATTAAACAGCAATATTCATTACTCTCAACTCGTGTATCTACACGTCAACACTAATATATCTATACTATAATATGCTATGCATTACCGTATACTATATCTACAGATATCTATACTATAAACATATTTATTATATATAAATATATTTCTGACTTCAGTGTATGAAAATGAAAAGTACCTTCTTCTTGCCCTCGTTTCTTTCTCGCCCTCCTTGCTTTGTTTTCGGCGAGCCTTCCTAGTTTTTTGCAGCTTCTTAGTGCTCTCAGTTGGCTTCATGTGGATGACAGGGATCGCTCGTCCCTCTAGCGCGGCCGCAAGCACCTCCGCCCGCTCCCGCAAATCCCCCGGACCCAGGGCAGCCGGAACTCTCCAAAACTGCTCCTGTTGTAGCAGAATTGTTGAAGCGATACATACTAGATCCACGGACTCCCACCTTTTACCAAACATCCGTGAGTGCATGGCAAAACGTGATAGTTGTCCAGCACATCAAAAAAGATCGCACTGGCTCAAAAAGTTAACAGACATTGCATCACTGATGCAAATATTGGCAAGGGTTCGAAACATTGCAAATGTTAGGATTGGTGGTTCAATAGTGATTTTCAAAATATTTCAGTTGTAACCAGACATGAAATTTTTTTATACCTGCCCAGTGATAGGCGGTGACAATCCTAATGCTTTTAGCAGCTTGGTGAATGTTGCTTCCTCTAATGCATTTTCATATTCTTCTGTAAGGGGTACTATAGGTACTGGATACATCTCATCTGCAACAAAATGCCAACTTCATACTTTGAACTATCACATAAGCAATGCCTCTCCCACTGTGCAGCACCACAGTGATGTATGGGGGTATTAGAAACCATGACATTAACCTGCATTAAAACAACAACTGCCGCGGAGCGACAGCGCTCATCTAACGTCTACTGCGGTGACTCTGTGGTGGAGTGGTGGGATTCGAGTAAACCCTGTTAGTCCCAAATGTGTTCACATACACGCCGGAAACAGTGGAATGCACAGGCGATGGTATCAGGAAACCTCTCAAAGGAATGTTCGTTGGGACATCATTTAATGAAAGTTTGCCACGAGATGGCTGCGTACGTTTAAGTGTCTTCAGCATTAAAGATTGGAAGCTCCCATCGTACGTAGTAGCGAACAACTATTTGCCCAAAAAGATAGGTAAGCACTCATCCATTTACCTACGCCATAGCCTTACAGGCTGCAATTAGAAGAGCTGCACCTGTAACCAATTAACGCAAGGCAAAAACTACACAAGTACACCACACACATGCACTGGCAGTAGCCACTGCGCAGTGGCCATACGTTACATGTAACATACTGGACAGTACAGAATGCCATAGAATTAATACGATTTAAGGAGCATAAACTTTCTTTAACCAATTTAGCTTTTGAATATTTCACTGCCTGACATTGCAGCCTCATACATCCAGGCATGTATAGCATTCTACTAGCAAACCCGGCCAGTCAAATTCGTCTAACAGACAGTCAAACAAATCCATGTTTAACCCTCTCCTTGAGGGTCAAAAGTTATCTGACACTTACTCTTCGCATGTTCAGCAGAAAGTAGATTTCATGGTCCTTTCAATAATGCCATAAAAATGCTAGGTCACCGCTGAAACAAAAAAGTTTTTCAATCGCTCTGTCAGACCATGTCCTTAGAAATGTCTAAAATCTGCCCTGTGCCCATTGACTTGACCTGTGACTCCAATTTCAGCTACAGTGATGGGCTTTTCCTACCATGATGCTATACACCAACTATCACGAGCCTAGGTCGAGCCATTTAGATTTGTGCCGCAATTCTTGCATTTCCTCCCTATACCTTAAGTTAAGGAGTGAATGTTCCCCCTTCTTTTACACCTCTTGACCTTTGACTTTGACCCCAGCTTCGACAATCCCAACTCGTTTGACGATCCCCCCAATGTGCGAATATTCGTGACCGGCGTACGTCGAGCGTTGTAAGATGTTGTGCGCACACTTGTTGACAGACGACGGACGGACGGACAATCATGCGATTCTACAAGCTGCATCTGACTATGTCAGATGAGCTAAAAATCCAAGTATAAGACTATTTACTTACAATATAAATACGCTTCATTAATTTATTATCGTTATTATCGATAATGCCTTTCAACTAAAACCTCATGTATGTATTGGAAGAAAATTTGTATAAACTGCAAGCAAATACACTAGTGGCACCGACCACACAAACAGGTGCCACAATTTTTAAGACATTTTCAGAGTAGCGAACGACGTCTACTGACCTTCTTCATCTCTATCTGTAGCCGTTCTCTCAAGTGTCGTCTTAAGCCACTGAACAGCGCCCAACAGATCTGCCAACAATCATAACCGTAGTCTTAACGACGTGACTGTTGTGTACGCCATGGAACGTTATATTTCTTGCACAATTGATACGGTTAGAGGCTTAATAATTTCAGCAACACTATACAGGCAGGGAGACAAATAAAAACAGCAGATATCAATCATTAGGATTGTATATTGATGTAGCATGTCTGACGGAATGCTGGAAAGGAACTAACATAACTAGAGTAGATATATGCAAGTTATCAGCCAATATGATAAATATATGTGTACTCATGTTCTATGGTTATGAGCGTGCGTGCTGGCCTTTTCATACCAAAGTATGTAAATGCTCACTCTAATATCAATAAGTTAAAATTTTGTGCTGTACTGTTGTACAGATAAATGCTATATAATATATTTATTATACATTCACATACGCGATACCTTTCTGCACTGCATTGTTCACCAAATAGCCAAAATCCGATGAATCTCCCTGTTTCCCATTTTCTTTATCTGACTCTTCATCTGAGCTGCCAGATGTACTGTCAGCACTGCTGGCTGTTGGAGAATCAAGTATGTCTTCTTCAAGGTCAGAGGGTAACCCTTGTTCTGAGAAAACAAAACATCAAACATGCCATTCTATTGCAATCAAGTACAATGCATTACCAGTAGCAGGGTTAAAAGAAATGATAAAGGAGCCAGGTACATGATCTTTACTGCATAATTTAAAGAATTCTGGAATTAGTGTGTGCAGCAGGAATGGTGCATTCAGAATGCAGTGACAATGAAGACAACGACAAGAACAACATCACTGACCATGCAGTCCACACAAAATCAATAAACAAATAATATTAATAGACTATTCTTCATATATGATATTAGAATCCCTGCCACATGAGATAATAGCAGAGTGATTAACATACTAGCTAGCTGTACATGTATTTCTAAACTAAACTACTACATGTACAGTTAAACCAGTGTTAGCAGACATCACTATAGAACGAACACCTATATATAAAGGCCACTTTTAAGATTTCCCTCGAGTCACAATAATACAGTTAAACCCCCTCTACAGAACGAATACCTGTCTATAAAGGACACTTTTCGCTCATTTTGCGCGACCCATACACACAGGTACGATCGCACGTCAAAATTACGCAATACGAAAAATCGCGTGAGAGCGTTCGCACCGAGATCGCTGGCATCGTCCGACGGCATGTCGTCGGCGTTGTCGCCGTCCGCGCCTCGCGCCGCTGACCGCCGCCGCTTCCGCTTCTTGTGCAGCTGCTTACGGTCCTGCACTATGCTCAGGCTGAGGCACTTCTCGATGACCTTGTTGCGCGACCTTTTCTGTATCATGTTGTCTAGGATCCTCGCGACCGGATCTGTGGGAGCGCGCAAAAACGGATGTCAGCGCCGAGAACACAAGAACAGTCGACGTTGGTCATGCGTACAAACGTGCGCTGTAAAGGATTGGCAGTATAACGATAAGTAATATCTTTATCATAAGAAATACGTATGCATAACGATTGTCACAGGTGTCTATTGCAATTGACGTTGAAACCTCCATGTTAATTTTATTGAAATCAGAAATCATAATTGGCACATTTGCATGTTTTTAATGATGGACAGTTACGATCATGAGGCGGAGGTGATGGGATGAGATAAGCTGTGGTTTTTACCGTCAGCATCCTTAAACTCCTCGTACAATCTCTTCAGCTCGTATTCCTCCTCTTCTTGCCACACGTTCACCGATTTCCGACTGGTGCAATAAGAACAAAAGACGCTATATAATGCAGTAAAAGAACACAGATATGAATTTGAATTATTATGAAATTATGAAATTTTCATTGGCTATTGTAAATTAATATTACCGGTCACTGACCGTGCCGTGCAGCATTCATAGGGGGCTATACACAGTATAGTATCTAAAAACATGAGTTCCAGAACATGTGACGCATTGTGCAGTGGGCAACAAACACAGTGTAGTGGAAATATCCAGCACTGTTTGGCAGGGTAAACAAAAGTTAAATAAAAAGTCAAGCATGGCATAGTAGGCACAAACAAAAAGTGGAGGAAGTGACAAGCACTATGTAGCTGGCATAAACGGCAAATAGAGAAAATGACATGCACAGTGTAGCAGGCAGAAACAAACAGTGGAGGAAATGACAAGCACTGTGTAGTGGGCCGACAGACAATCTAAAGGAAATGAATAGTACCATAGTAGAACCAGTAGTAGGCAGAAGCATACTGTGCAGGATACAGCCAACAGAAAGAGAAGCTAGAGGACACATAAACTCAAGTATGGTGCAGTGAACAGATATAGAGTACCGTACTCCATATTTTTCGCATACAGATATATTCGCGAATTCAGACTTGACGGGCAATTTCGCTAGTGGTTAATTTCACGGTCGGTGAATTCCCGGATCAGTGAAGAACAGCGTGTTGTTATTTTGGCATGTTGTTATTTTCGTGGTCAGGGACGCGTTCGCAAAATTCGCAAAAATTAAACCACCGCGAAATATACAGCGCATATAGTATATAGAGCAGCATACACTTTGTGTTTTTTCAGATCCTTGCTCGACGAGATGAGTCCCTGTTGCTTCAACTGAAAGACAATCTGCTTTCTGGTCTTGCTATCCATCAAATGTTCTGCTACCAAATCGATAACATCCTTCTCTGCAATAATTTATGTTTTGCGGCATTAATTACTGCATGCAACCTGCAGTTATTCGCTTTAGCAGCGGCACACAGGGCCACATTTTTTCTCCCAAAAATGGTTTGCCCGCAGATGCATAGTTCAGTGGAGAAACATTGTATAACACTTGTATAATTTACACAAGAACAAATTGCAAATGACACTTTGTTGTTTAGCGCAGACAGCGTTGACGAGAGGGCATTTTCAGTATTACCTGGATCTTCAACATCCTTGTACTGGTAGAACAATCTCTCCAACTCAGATTCCTGCTCTTCAGTCCATAACATCTTGCTACGGCTGGCACTGTAAAATCATGCGTTAAACTGTACTGCTAAGCTTCAATGAAAGATAACAGAACTGTGTGCTGCATATGTATACATATTATTATTATACGGTCATCTATTTGGATTTCAAAGATACAGTACTAGAGAAGCATGACATGCAAGCTGAAACTGCACAAATTACATTATTGAATACTGCTGCTCATAAATAGAAAACATGATTAATAAAAAAAACTACACTCGAGCACGGCACGCACACGTCTTAACAAACACACCCATGTACATTTATCTGTGTAATATTGCAGCAAGTACGTGTACGTATGCATGTCTGTGACTGCATGTTTGGATTTGCTTCTCCAATAAATCTAGCCCCTTATAAACCTTCCCTATCAAAGATCACGCTACTGCATATTTTGACTGTATACGTCTTCCACGAATAAACTGTATCTCACTTCTGCACTGTGTCATCATATCCAGATTCTATGGCATTCACATCCTTAGCAGTCTTCCAGAACAGCAGCTCCACCACCAGCTTTGGGTTTGTCGGCAACATCGAGAAGAACTGACTAACGACGTACTTGGCAAACGTGCCAAGCTCCTGAAATCATGCAAAATAGCTTAGATGAGAACTCAGCAAGTGTTTACAGTAGCATGATGAACACTGGGCTTGCATCCTGTAGGCCACTAGCTTGTCGCCCTGCTAGCTTATGTATACCATCGCCTGGCATATCTATCCTATCTGGGGGTTTATCTGGATAATTGTATTTAGTACCTAATAATTTATTTTGCGAAACAATTAATCCGTTTGTGAATTTGGACACAGAGAGATTTGGTCGAAAGGTCAGGGGTTTTGGGCCCCCTAAAAGATTTGGTATGCATATAGCTATATTTGGCTGAATTTTTTTTGAATTAAATTGAAACTGTTTTTTTGGTGAAATTACTGAATAAGATATGGTTTTAATAAAAAAAATGGTTGCAATTGTAAAATAAACATGTACAGACGAATTGTAAAAACAATTTTAGGTAAACATTGGCTTTTAAATTATGAATTCTGACCTTCGTAGGGATCGTGAAGAGGTCCGATAGTCAGACCTAAATCTGCCTGAAATATAACTCTGCTATCTCTAATGATACAGGATACAGCTATATCACACAGACACAATAATAAACAGGTTTTCTCGTTATTTTGGTCATGTCTACCCCGCACCCTATGACATTAATACTTCCAGGTTTAAATCTCGTGTCATCTCCACTTCTTTAATGAATTCTCGCATTACATAAAATCACAAGCTCAAAACACTTAAATGGGCAGAGGCACCACATGAAATGTCCCTTCACCTTGAAGCCAGTCGACCTGCCGGAGACCTGTTCCTTTAGAACAGCTTGTAAGACGCGAAACATGCTGGCCTGGAAGAGCAGTGGCACCATCTTGAGGTCGAAGGCAACTCGATGCATCATCTTGACGAGACAGTGGTTCGTGTGAGGCTCATTGGTGCGGTAATACTTCAGTAACTCGGCATATGGCTTCAGTATGGTGGGGTTTGCAAAGCTGAAAGATAGGATTTGTGGATACAGGATAGGATGCAGTGCTTACACTTTCAATGGTTACAGGAATCGACAATAACATCACATTGCCTTTGTAGCTTTAATAATTATCATGAATATATGTATATTTATATTTATTAGTGTAGTTTAATCACAAGGAATTGTGATAAGTTGTGTAAGAACATAAGAATGCCACGTTTTGATTAACAATGATGGTAGGCATGTACACGAAGGAACACATGTAGTGACTTATTAGAAGGCAGTTAGTTATTCATCTTGCATGTTGGAATTTTTAGTTACCATTTCAAGAAATCTTTAAAGTTGAATTCCTTTTCGCAAGTGACATCTGCTAGCCTCTCATACTCCTCTTCTTCCCCTTCCTCTTCCGCACCCTCTTCCACGGGCTCATTAAGGTCTCCTGTTGCAGGAGGAATCACTTCTGGACCTAACATAGTATGGATAACATTAGACACTACACACTACATAGCTTACAGAAACATCTAATAATTAACGTCACAACATTCTTTGTTTACTGTAACGAAACTGATGAGAGGAGAGAAAATGCAACCAATCTATGACCATTACTGTTTAATTATTTTAACATGTACATACATATGAGTATGAGTGAATAATAATAGATTATCTGCGTGCAACAGATGATGAATTACATATATTCAACTCTGGAATTTTGGGCCAGTTCAAGTGGAATAAATATCACATATATGTGGCCTAGACCACCTCTCAGTAATAGGCAAACATGTCCATATTTGCCAATGTTTTCCAGCACCACCATGCCCCACCTACACAAACACCAAACAACAAACACACACAGCGCACATAAACGCACGTTAATAACGATTATTCCACAGGTATAGTGTTACTAATAATCCTTTAGCATAGGTGCAGCATATATCTGTTATGTTTAGCTACAGGATGCACAGGATCCCGTTGCACATGGCCCTGTTGAACACATCCTCTTACATCATATATAGGCACAGATTTAGAGTTAGGTTGACATCCTATACGATCACATGCCATACATCACAGGATTGGTATAACCATTTAAATTTCCTGCTGGAACTAGCAGGCAGGGCATGCAGTGCTCAGAGGCGGTTTGTAGCCAAACAATCAAGTGCACACAGAGACGTGCTTGACGTGAGATGATTGGTGAGATGAAGGTTCACCTTACTGAGCTAACATTAACAGATTCTACGAACGTTCTCTCACAGAGGAGCACTCGTTTCATCACACACAAACGAAGGCAGGCTTTCCTTCTGTCAGGTTGAGCGTTTCGACCATTGTGAGCATATATACCTGCCGTTTGTTTCCGTTCAATGAGCGAAAGACAACAAGTGTTCGAAGATATTTGGAGCCTCTGAAGTACTTCGCCACCGAGACTGTATTACGTGGGCAGTTTGACACAGCCTGTGCTGAAACTTGCGACATCTAGCATTGCAACAGTGAACGTCTTCAACCAGCCGAGGATAAAACGATAAAAATCAAACCCTGATTCTCTATCAAAATAACAACAACAACAACAACAACAACAACAACAACAACAACAACAACAACAATAATAATAACAGGATCAATCTGCAGTGATGTCAGAGCAGCCTATCAGTGGTCAGTGGCAGAAGACAGGGAGTGGCAACCTTCAGACAAATAGCAAGCGCACGGAGGCGGTCATTTTTCTCGTGATCGTGTTCGGATGGTACCTAGTCTACAAGTACATGATGGTCGTCTCCTGGGAGGAACTCAGAGAAAAGTTTGGAGGTTAGTCAGGCCCCAGATGGCCCAAATGGCTGCCAGATAGGCACCTGCATGGTTACACTGAGCAGATGCTTCCTGAGTGGTTACACTGAGTGGATGCTCCCCGACTGATTACAATCAGGAGATTCTCCCTCACCAACCTCATGCAGTCGACACACATCCTCACCGATTATGCTAGGCAGACGCTGGTGCACGAGTTTGATAGCTAAGACTGTCTAGACAAGTTACAAAAGCACTGGTGTTTAATAATATTATTTTATTATAATGAACTTTTAAAATGTGTTGCCTGTTATAGAACACTGCAACATCAATTTCGCCAAATATTCGCACAATATTCACATTTTACATTTATATTTGCGTTTCACTACGTGCACGAATTTTAGAAAACGACAACATAATATGCAAAAGTTAGTAGAAATTGTCGACAAAACATGGCAACTGACGAAAAGAAGTGTTCTATGTCTCGTGCATTGCAAACGAATTCGGAAAGGTCGAATGATTCAGGATCATCGCCAAGGATTCTACGCCACAGACGAACTAAACCATTAGAGTTCTGCTACATGGTGGAGAGCGTGTTATTTAATCTAGTGGCATCGATACTATCCTATTACATAATCATCTCGGTAGTGAAAGCTGCTGTAAGTTAACCTGGTACAATTACAAATAATTTTGATCGCCGAGTACAGAGCATTAACGCCAACCAAATTCCAATCATTACAGTGGGGTTTTGCACACATTTCCAGCAAATTTGGTTAATTGGAAAAACGGTTCATAATGAACTTCAAAACTAAATGTTCAGTCTAACATCTACATAATTGAAAATGTGTTCATGTACGATTGACTATTATCATGTACTTCTCTTGTATATCAACTTGTTTAAATATGTTCATGCTATTGTGCAATAATGCCTTGAGTAATGTCAAATAAATTATAACTTGAAAACATTGCTTAACTGATATCATAGTATACATACTTTTGTCAAAAAGTGCACAATTATATCCCTTTAGTATATATCCCTTATAGCTCCTGTACTATGATGACATTTTTGACATTTAAACATTTAGGGAGGGTTGCATTTACATACACATTCATGGCCAAATCCAATTAACTTTGTTATTTAGCTTCGTTTTATTATTTGTTTCTCATTATCTGGCAGTCAGCTAATGCAGGCGATTTTTAACTAGGATGAGACTTCTTTGAAATAAAACATTCAAGATCTCAACAGTAGCCATCCAATGATGAGCCTGATCTGACTGCATTTTTCTGAAACTCACCAATACAGATAATACTCGTATCTGAACCTGCTGGCAAGGTATCCCATATAGGACACAGGAAATCAGACAACCAACACCCAGTAGTAGTTTTTAAATATCCAATGATAGGTAACAATTGACCTAACCGTCTGAGCGAGATAATCTTCACCCATCCCTTGGATATTGTTTTCAAGCCAGACCATTTTATACGATTTTAATGCACGCAGACTTAATTTTCACCCCCTATACTTCGTTGTCAAGCACTTCGTTATTTAGAATGTCCCATCGGAACATTAATTCGCTAAAGCTGGGTGTCAATCATGCCAGGTAGATAGGTCAGCTGACAATTTATTCGTTTGAGGAATGATCAAATTCAGATAGTTCTGTACTAATCAAACATGCGCAAAGACTTTATTCAGACCAATTATTACTGTAAACGGCACGTGGGACATGGGTGCATAATGCACGAGAACAAATGTTTTTACATGTTTTTAAATGTTCATTACATCATGAAATGCCTGTTGAGCTTTTGCAGCTAACATCCGCATGCACATTTAACTGTTTGCCGATACTATTATAATTTATCTCACAGCACATTCATTGCAAGATTTACTCCACTCGCTATGATCGTACCATAATCTGGAAGCATCATACGTGAGTAGGCTGTCACTAATTTATTTCCATCACATAAAGTACAGCTAGCTTAAAAGACAATTTCCATGCAGTGAATAACACACTATTGAATAATAAAAAAATATATAAAAAAGATTACAATTTATCTATCACATCATAGGCACTGCACTCTAGTTCAATCATCACCCATGCCTGCAAAAATATCTGTCAACATCCTCACCATAGTTGGACAGATATCAACACGTATAGATAGAACCAAATCTCTACAGTATGCCTCGGCAGACAACTACCTCAACCAGAAAATATCGCTCGTCTTATCAACCGGTAGTCGACAACAGCACTGCCTCACAGGGTAAATATGCTTCCTCTGCATCCTGCACTGGAAAATGATAAACAGGAACACCGGCCGGCACGTCGCGATAAGATCGCGCAGTACTGCCTCGGAAAACCTGACCGACTCGGGAGGACGCGGTGAGGGGGAGGGAAGCAACGCCCACACGCGTGCTCAGGTTATCCACATGAGCAGCTAGCTGTCGTTTACCGCCCCCAACCTCGCAGCGAAGCAGAAAGGGTACGGATGACGTACGCCAAACAACACATGGCACCATTATAGCACGGGCCAATGTCACTGCAGTTCCACTAGAGTGTAGCAGCTGAGAACCTTCGCTGGCAGGTCTGCACTGCCTTCCACTGAGATCTGCCGGTGAATCTATGCCTGGACATGTCTACTTAGCAGGGGACGTTGGCCTGCAGTACTTGCAGCGGTGCACTCGCCAGCAGACACGATGGGACAGTACAGCATTGTGGGTCTTCCACTTGTGCTGCTGCTCGTGACGTTCTGCATGCGTCGCTCTGCCGCGTGTGTGGAATCGTGCCAGTGCAACCAAACGGGAACGAGATGGACGTGCGTCGGCGACGGCAGCGACGACCCGCCGGTCTTCAGCAATAACATCACTATCATCCGCTTTCTGGAAATCTCACAATACAATATCAGCGCACTGCGGAGAGACCACGTGGGCGACAATCCGCGACTGGTCAGGCTCCTCCTAAACGGAGTAAGTTTGATAATTCCCAGTAATGTCAAAGATGCATGTACGAGTCATTCGAGGTGAACCTCAAAAATGTCCTTTGTGGACAGTTGTCTGTTTTTAAAATAGAGGAGGTTTCACTGTGCAACTGCCACTCCAAGAAACGCTCAAAGTACATATTATAGAAATGTGTCAGGTCTATAGAAGTGTCTGCTAACACACAGGTTTGACTGTGCATCAATCACACGACGACGGAATCAGCCATGCAAATATCAAGTATTATATGCCGCGACCACATGCTTCTGCAACCTTTCAAGTTCACAATAATCTTGGCTTCTCTGTAGTATCACACTGATCTTGCAAGTTTCTGTGACCTACCGACAACAACGTGAGGTGACTGTACGTTTCGTTAGAAAAAAAAGCGATATTACAATCTGCACAAAAAATACATATTATAGTATTGATGACGAATACACTGGATATGTTGAATATAACCAAATCTCACAGCAGAATACGAAACAAGTAGAACAATCAATCATTCAAGGGAAATGCCAAATGCGTCCTTCACAGACAGGCGACCTTTATACAAAGGTGACCGACTGCTTAGTGCTAACACAGATTCGCAGGTGTCGACGAGGTCTAACGTTATGAATGACGGGTCACGCTTTTCCACGCTTTCAGAACGAGATACGAAGCATCGAGCCCGGCGCATTCGCAGGCACATCGCACCTACTATGGCTGAGCCTGAACGAAAACAGCTTACGGGAGGTGGACGCACACTCGTTCGCCGATCTGACAATGCTCAAGCACCTCACGCTCGAGGGAAACGAAATCGAAACTATCGGCGACAGCACGTTCCAATCGCTCGGCGAACTGCGCCGGCTTGACATGTCACGCAATCGCATCAGGTACGAGTATGAAAAAGCCTTCAGGTATGGGCATGAGAAAGCCTTCAGGTACGAGTATGAGAATGCCTTCAGGTACGGGTATGAGAAAGCCTTCAGGTACGGGTATGAGAAAGCCTTCAGGTACGGGTATGAGAAAGCCTTCAGGTACGGGTATGAGAAAGCCTTCAGGTATGGGTATGAGAAAGCTTTCAGGTATGAGTATGAGCAAGCATTCAGGTATGGGTATGAGAAGGGCTTCAGGTATGGGTATGAGAAAGCCTTCAGGTATGAGTATTGGAAAGCCTTCAGGTACGAGTATGAGAAAGCCTTCAGGTACGGGTATGAGAAAGCCTTCAGGTACGAGTATGAGAAAGACTTCAGGTACGGGTATGAGATAGCCTTCAGGTACAAGTATGAGAAAGCCTTCAGGTATCGGTATGAGAAGGGCTCTAGGTGTAGAGTAGCATCCGGTAGTTAGGATTCACACATTTATTCTTGCACCATTATGCTGCGTAAAGCCAGGGCTATTACTACTGTGGCGTAGAGATGTTTCGATGTAGAGGCCTGCATGTATACACTATATGATACACACACACGTACGGATGCACGCATGCACACACATATATTCACGACTAAACAGCCACACCTATACTGATATGAACACTAGCTACAAAAAACACTTCCTATACCATGTGCTGGAAAAAACTATTCTAACCATATACGTGCATAAGCACAAACACTAACTATCCTATGTATACTATCTAGCCTACTTAATAATTGCTACTTCAGCATACACTAATTTCTACCACGTCATTATTCATTTTGTGTTTCATTCGTTATTTAAATCCTTAAATATTATATATTATTGTATCCCCCCGAACGAAGTTCGTGGTGATACTATGGGTTTGGCATCGTCGCGCCGCTGCCGCCGCCGCTGCCGCCGCCGCTGCCGCCGCCGCAGAGATTTCCTTGTGAACGCTCTACCGGCTGCAGTTCTTCTCAGATCATCTTCAAATTTCGCACGAAGGTGCGTTATCGTAAAGCGAAGACGCCAATCGTTTTTGGTGTGGGCAGAGTCATCGTTGCCATGGTAACAACATTTTTTGTTGAAATATTCTAGAACCTGTAACTTCTGCACATTCTAACACTGCTAACTTTCTAACATTTTACCCGATTGTCATGAAATTTATATTTGTATTAAAATTTATATTAAAATTAAAATTAAAATTTATACACTATCGAGGGTAATGGGCATGAGAAGTCTTCAGGTACAGTATGAGAATGCCACAGGTACGCGGCTCACCCTTGATAAAGTTCAGTAGTACGAGATGAGAATGGCCTCAGGTAAACGGATGATGAGAAAAAGCCGTTCAGAGGATAGCGGAGCTATGGAAAGAAACTTCAGGAGTAAAGACAAAAAGGGTATGAAAAAGTAATGAGGGCACTAATCATTTACAGAAAGTAGGGTAATGGAGAAAGCTTCAGATGATATGGAGCAAGACATCTCAGGTATGGGTATGAGAAGGCGCTTCAGGTATGGGTATGACGAAAGGGCCTTCAAGGTATAAGACCTGAAAGCATGCGAGAGCTAACCGAGTCATGAGAAAGAACTTACAGGTATCGAGTATGGTAAAGGGCCGCGGTTCCAGGATACGAGTATAAGAGAAAGCCCTTCAGGGGTATAAAGTATGCCCAAGCACGCACTCAAGCGCATCATGGTTGAGAATAGCCTTCAGCGTCGGAGATATGAACCCGGACAAAGCCTTCAGGACTAGAAGCCGAGAATATAAGAGAAAGACCTTCAGCGCTATCGAGTATGAGAAATAGACTTCAGGTCCGCCGCGTTATAGAGAATAGCCTTCAGGTACAAGTATGAGAAAGGCCTTCAGGGTATAGAGATGATCGAGAAAGGAGCTCCTAGGTGTAGAGTAAGCATCCTGTAGTTAGGATTCACAATTTACTTCTTCGCACACCAACCTATGGCTCAGCGTAAAGTCCACGAGGCTATTTACTAACTGTGGCGGTAAGAGATGTTTCGATGTAGAGGCCTGCCATGTATACTACTATATCGATCCACACCACACAACACACCTCCGCATCCCCACCCCCGCATCAAGCGCACACCCCGATATATTCAACGACTAAACCGCCACACCTATACCCCTGAGATCCCATCGCAACCCCCTCAGCCCTAACCACCAAAACACACCACTCCTGCCTATAACGCATGTGTCTGGAAAAAAAACTATCTACACCATATACTGTGCATAAGCACAAAACACTAACTATACGCTATGCTATACCTAATCTAAGCCTACTTAATAATTGCTACTTCAAGCCATAAGCACATAATTTTCCTACGTCACGTCATTATTCATTTTGTGTTTTCATCTTGTTATTTAAAATCCTTAAATAATTATATTATTTTGTTATGCCAGTAGCCGCGAACAAAGTTCGTGGGTGATATCTATGGTTTGCTATCGGTCGCTAGCCGCTAGGGCCCAAGGCGCAAGATGCAGGCCGCGGCCGATGGGACAAGGCGAATGAGCGCCGCCCGCTTGGCTGGCCTCCGCGGCCAGCGAAGAAGATTTCATTGTCGAACGCTCTTACGCTACAGTTCTCTCCAGATCATCTTCAAATTTCGCATGAAGGTGCGTTATCGTAAAGCGAAGACCTGCTAATCGTTTTTTGGTGAATGGGCAGAGTCCATCCGTTGCCAATGGTAACAAACATTTTGTTCGAAATATGTCTAGAACGCATGTAAGGCTTCTTGGCAGCAATTCTAAACACTGCTAACTGTTCTAAGACATTTAACCTCGATTGTCATGAAATTCTTATTCTGGTATTAAAATCTTAATAATTAAAATTTATATTAAAATTAAATTAAAAATTATATTAAATTTATGATTGTCATCAAATATATTATATCTACCATATAATATATAGGACATGTTATATCGCCTGTGTGCCAAATTCCATGACAATGCGCGTAAAAACAGCCCATCAAGTTACAGTTCTACATATTTCCATCAAACTGTTGGGTTACCATGGCAACGAATGACTATGCCACACCAAAAACGATTAAGGCGTCTCGCCTTTACCCATAAAGCACGCTTCATGCAAATTTGAAGAATCATCCGAGATCCGGGTAAAAACTGCCACCAGGTCATGCGACCACTTTATTTCGACCTTTACCTTGAACCTTGATCATAATTTCCCTTCCGCTCTCTAACTCAGCCCCTAAATTCACGCTAGAAGTGAGCCGAACTTGGTACTGAACTTACACATTTGGGAGAAAGTCTGTCGGCATACGCAAACCGATACGCACTGCCTTGACTCTTAGTCTTGACACTTTCCAGTCGACTCTACATTTCGCTCTTCGGCCAACCTCTAGGAAGTAACCAGATTCCATAAATAATTGCAACATCCTGAGGCACACCAGTTGTCTCAACAACGCTTGCTCTTTGTGAACTTATGTTAAACTTACCTGCCTTCTACGTCCTTACATGCAGATATTCATTCATACTAAGATCCACCGATCAGGATACATGTAGTCTGGCGGACAAACTGCTCGTTTCTATTTTATTATAACATAAATAGTACATCTATATTTGTATTATTTATTTCGCCTATTATAACACTTTGATTATCAATTATTTATGTTCCGTGCTATATAAGCGTAATAATGCTGGCCTCCGCCGTCAGGGAAATCACGGGGCGCGACCTTCGGCCGCGACCCATGCATCCGTGATCGTCCCTCGGCTTGGCCGACAATGCACATTGCCAGCGGTAACGCGCGACGTAACACGGCGGCTTCGCCCGCATGCGACGCCGCCGCCACCCGTGCGTGACTCGCACCGGACAACCACCACCGCCTGCAAGACACCACTGCGAGTCCGCCCAAGCGCGCGCCCCCCCCCGCCCACCCCCACCCCCCCCCCCCCCCCGCCCCCCCCCCACGCACATCCCCCGCTAGGCTACCGCGCGTTCACCTCGAACGCCCGCTCTCGACGCTGCCACATGCGTGACGCCGCCTCCGGGCGCCGCCGAGCCCACCACCGCCAGTCCCACCCACACCCACGCCCCAGCCACCCCGAACGTCGAGCCAACCCACCAGGCACACAAGCCCAAACAAGGAACAGAACAAGAAACACACACAACAGACAAGATCAGTAAGACAAGGAAAACACAAACACACAGATACAACAAGCGAGAGAGAAAGGCAGAGGAAGAAGCATTACGTGAGGAGAGTAACAAGATAATGAAGCAATAAGAACAAGACACAAAAGAATAACGGAGACACGCCAAAACACAGGCAAACCACCGCACACACACAACCACTCCTCCCCTGCCAGAACGACATCCCCCATCCAGCCCCGCCGAACCACGCACCCCTCGCCACGAGCCGCTCGCCAGCATATCACACACCCCCCGCGGCACCACAGAGGCCCGCGCAGCGCCGCGCCCGACCAACGCGGCGCACTCACAAACAGAGACACGGTATGCGAGCCGGAGGCGGGCCACGCCCTCAGCGGGGCCCCGCCCCTCCGCAACACACCGGGGACGCCAGCAGCAGCCGGAGCGGGCCGCAGTCACCCCGGCGGCGAGACCACCGGAGAGGAGCCGAGAGCCGAGGGGAGTCAACGCAGTGAGACACCCTCCGCGGCCGCACCACACAGACCCCCGCCCCACCACCCGGCCAGCGGCGAGTCAAGCCGGAGGGCCGTCGTCGCACACCGAGGGAGCAGTGACGAGCCGGAGGCGGACGTCAGCGGGGGGAGTGAGACACCACCGGAGGCAACGCGCCACAAGACCGCGCCAGGCGCGGAGTCACCACGCCGCGGAACTGAGCCACAGACCCCCGCAGGGGACCCCGACGCGCAGCCCCCGGAGCGGCGGCCAGTCCACACGCACCTCGACGACACACCCGGGCCGAGGAGCGGAGCGCGGGAGGGGGAGTCCCAGGGGGTGGAGCATGACGCGGACAGGAGCGAGCCCGGAGGGGAGTCATGAGCGAGGGAAGACACCGGGAGGCTCAGCGAAGCAGAACGCCCGGAGGGAGCTACTCTGCGGAGGGTGAGACATGGGAGGAAACAAGAGCTGGGAGGAGCGGAGTAACACGCCGGTGCAAGACATGGGCAGAGAGCACAGCAGCGCCGGACAAGAGGCGGGAGTCCAGGGGCGGCGTCGCACGCACACCCCCGGCCACCCAGGAGCCGAAAAAACGCCGGAGCGGCAGGAGCCATCACGGGAGGGTGCAGAGACACGGGAGAGGAGACGAGTAGCCGGAGGAGAGCGGAGCTCCACTCGCAGTGAGACAACACCCACCCCCACAACCCCGACGGACGCGACAGCACCGCCCGGAACCGCCGACGCGCACGCTCCCAGCGGAGTGACACGGAGCACCGACGTGCCACCGCCACCACGGCCACACGCACGCGCCACATATCCACCCCCACACAACCACACACACACAGCCGCTATACAGACACACACACGCGACGCACGCCCCCACGAAGCACGAGCACACGACCCACACAAACACCGCGCGGGACGCGAGAGGCACACACCACAACACACCCCCACCCCACGCGCTGACCGCACACCGCGCACGCCACAACACCACTCGCACACCAACACGCACAAGACACGTCCACCCCCCCACCCACCCCACCCCCCACCCCACCCACCCCCCCACCACAGGACCGTGGAGACAGATGGGAGGAGCGAGCCGGCAGAGAGGTACCGCACAGCGCTGAGACACGGGGAGAACGTCGCACGCCGGAGGACAGGGGAGTCACAGGAGCGGGTGTGAGGACAGACCCCGGGGAAGGAGCGACGCCAGGCCCCGCCGGCGGGAAAATACAAAGAAAAAATGAGCAACAGAGAGGGAGCAGCATAGGAACCACAAAACCAACCGAGAGACGGGCGTCACACGAAGCTGAGCACACAGAGGAGCGAGGAGAGCAGCGAGACAAAGAGACTCAGAAACGGGATGATAAATGACAAATATACGAGAACAAAGACGCGGAGAAGAGAATACCGAAAAAAAACCAAAAGTAGATAGAAAAAATGAACAGAAACACACAAAAACAAAACCCAACAAAAAACAGACGTGAAGAACAACCGGGAGAAACGTGAGACGCGAGGGGGGAGTCAGCGCAGTGGAAACATCGAGGGGAGAGAGCGGAGACCGGAGGGGGAGTCAGAGGGGTGATGACAATGGGAAGGAACGAGCCGGAGGAGGGAGTCAGGGTGAGACACGGGGAGGAGCGAGCCGGAGGGGGAGTCACGCGGTGAGACACGGGGAGGAGCGAGCCGGAGGGGGAGTCAGGGGGTGAGACACGGGGAGGAGCGAGCCGGAGGGGAGTCAGGGGTGAGACACGGGGAGAACGAGCCGAGGGGAGTCAGGGAGTGGACACGGAGGAGCCGGCGAGCCAGGAGGGGGAGTCAGGGGGTGTGACATGGAGAACGAGCACGGAGGGGGAGTCCAGGCGAGTGAGACACGGGGAAGGAGCGAGCCCCGGGGGAGAGTCCAGCGGGTGATGAACATGGGGAAGGAACGAGCGGAGGGGACGAGTCAGGGAGTGAGACACACCAACACCACACGGGAGGAGCGCCCGGAGGGGGAGTCCAGACCGGAGTGAGACACAGGGGAGGGAGCGAGCGCGGAGGGGGAGTACCAAACGGAGGAGAATGTGACATGGGGAGGAGTGAGCCGAGAGGGGGAGTCAGCAGTGTGAGCAACACGGGAGGGACGAAGCCGGACGAGGAGTCACGCCGCGAGACACCGGGAGGAGCGAGAGACCGGAGGGGGATCACGCGTGAGAGCACGGGAGGAGCGAGCACGGAGGGGGAGTCAGGGGGGTGTTGACATTGGGAAGAGAAAGGGGGGGAGGGGCGAGCCGGAAGGGGGAGTCACGCGGTGAGCACCAACAAACGGGGGAGGAGTGAGGCGCGAGAGGGGGAGTGCAGAGGATGAGACACGGAGGAGGAACGAGAACGACAGAGGGGGACGTCACAAGCAGGTGAGAACACGAGGGACAGAGTGACGCCCGGAAGGAGAGATCACGCGGTGAGACACAAATGGGAGAAAGAACACGAACGAGCCGGCAGGGGGAGTACCAGGGGGCCTGAGACACAGGGAGGAGCGAGCCGGAGGGGAAGAAGTCACAGCGGTGAGAACACGGAGGAGGAGCGAGCCGGAAAAGGGGAAGTCTCAGGGTGCGGTGAGGCACAACGGGAGGAGGCGGAGCACAGGAAGGGGGAGTCAGGGGTGAGACAACGGGGAGGAGGCGCAGCCGGAGGGGGAGTCAGAAAGGTAAAGAACGGGGAGATTGAGCCAGAAGGGGATTCACGTGGTGAGACACGGGGAGGACACACACACACAAACGAGCACGGAGGGGGAGTCACATGTGAGACAACGGGGATGCGGAGCGAAGCCAGGAGGGGGGAGTACGAGCGTGAGACACTGGGAAAGCAAGAGAAAGCGAGGACAGCCCGAGGGAAAAGTCAAATTGCACCACAGAGACAACGGGGAGCGAGCACGACGGAGGGGAGTACAGGGGGAGTGAAGCAGCCGAAAAAAGAGAAAGAGGAGGAGCGAGCCGGAGGGGGAGTCAGGGGGTGAGACACGGGGAGGAGCGAGCCGGAGGGGGAGAAGGTAACAGGAGGGTGAAAGACACAGAGGGGGAGCCGGCACGAGGGGAGTCTACGCGGTGAGACACGGGGGGAGACGGAGCGCGCCGGCAAGGGGAGTACGGGGGGTGAGAAACGGGAGAGGCGAGCACACGGAGGGGGGTACAGGGTGAGACCAAACGGGGAGGAGATGAGCCAGAGGGGGAATCAGAAGGGTGAGACACAACAAACGGGAGGAGATGAGCGCGGAGGAGGAGTCACGCAGGCGAGACAAATGGGGAGAGAGCGAGCCGTAGAGGGGGAAGATCAAGAGAGGGTTCGGGCGAAAGAGAAGAAAAAAAAAGAAGCGGCACAGGGAGGGGGAGTCACAGGGAGGAAGGGAGAGGAGCCGGACATTTGAAGCACTATGACATAGCTGACATACATGAGACCAGAGAGAGGAATACAACAAGGGAGGGGGGGAGCTACCACGAGAAGAAGAATCTGAGAGAGGGCAGAGAGAAGGCACGGGTAAGACTGAGCGGGAAGAGCGAGCTGGAGAGGGGAATCAAGGTGGGGCGGGGAGGAAGCACATTGAAAGAGAAATTTGCTTGAGAGAAGAAGCCTTGATTCAAGAGAGAATAATAAGCTGCTAGTTGTAATAATGATAAACGCAGCAAGTTGGCACAAGATGTAAGCGCTGTTTAATTGCACGAGGAACCAGGATTGTGGAATATGACAACAAAATATGGCCTGTTAGACAAAACCCAAGTAAGGTCCATAGTACAGGAACGCTGACCGTTTTCTACACTTACACGCACAGACAATCATGACGATATTATCATCCACCAAAGATTCTCAGCCAGAAGCTAACACGCCACAAGGTAGACAAGTATAGTTAACAAGAAAGCATAGGGAGATAAGAATAGCACCTTCTTGCCTAAATGGCTTACCAAGATTTTCATATGCATAAGAGCATTAATCGGCATTAGTCCTAAGGTATATTTATAGTTATTAATACGTCACAATGAAAAGCCAACAAACCCCCTCTAGCCCACCCTGCAATTTGTATGACAGTTTATCATATGTTAAGAATTAGTAACTTGCTCACTTATGATAATTGTGGTATTGATGTTCTTCAAGAGAAGCCGCAGGAACTACAGGACGAAAATCTGCACGCAATCAACCGAGAGACGAGTTATGCATAACCAACCGACGTCGGCACGGGCACAGCACACACCTGCAAGGCATTCTAAACTAAGTTGGTCGGCTGGTAACGTTGAGATAGTAACTCGACCATTGCATAAGGACGATAGTGGCTTGCGCGATGGGACACAATTAAACGTATGAGCAACGTAGCGCGTGTTCTCTCTATATTGTAACACGGTGCTTTGAAGATAAAATGACTCACTCCCTTAACCACACACAGAAGGACACGACACACAGCACACGCGCACCCACCGCACGCACGAACGCAAAGGGATATGAGCGACACTGCTGACAGCCATGCGCAACAGCACGCAACATACTACGCCCGCTGTTTTTATATGATGTTACAGTATCTCTATCTCGACGACAAACTGGATCACTGCAGGCTCGAGACGTAACAAAGCGGCAGCTTCCTACGGTCCCGTCCATACCTCCACTGACGCTCAGCCTCAGCCGCAACAACATCCACGCGCTGCCCGCGAAGCAATATGCCTTCGCCGCACTTCTGCCAACCTGCGAGCGCAGCGTCGACCTCTCGCCCCGCGCCCAGCTCGCGCGTCCTAGGAGGGCGCCAAGGCGCTCAGCGCGTCGCGCACATGATCGAGCGCTCGCGATCTGCAAACGACGGTAGTGAAACGCGGGATCGAGGTCGCCGTCGGAAACCAAACAGGGAATGCTTACGGCAGACCGCTGCGCGGGCTGCAGCGGCTCACGAGCTTCGCGCAGCACCGCGCTCACCGCGCGCGCAGTACCTCACCGACAGCCAACGCGTCGCATCAACGACCAGTGCAAGCGAGCTCGCGCGCTCAAAGACCTTTCGCCGACACCGCTGCGCGATATATTGACTTGCCGCGCGACCCC